GCATGGAACATAATCACATTGCCCTATTTGTTCTCAATTTGCACATAATAGATTTTTTAGAATAATAATAAAATAGCTCCTAAATCTAATAATAGCTAATCCATTAACAAAATAATTTTTAAATAATTAGATGGATACAATAATAAAATAAAAAATACACTTTTATCACACTTTTACTGTAACATTGTTTCATAAACGTAAAAAGTTAAATCATAAAAGTTGTGCAATTAACAAATAGGTTTCCATTGCATTTTTTTCTCATCGTTAATCAAACAACCAAAGAACTAAAAATCTAAAAACTTTAACAAAATTTCTATTCGTGACTACGTCATTTATCAAAGATGCTTATATCACCCCGCGCTCAAGGAAAGATTGTCTAAAACTGTTTCTGGATTCACACGTGCGCGATTGCTTTGATTCTCATTCTCATACCAGTATCAGTTTTAGTTTTGAATTCTTCTGCCATTCGCGCGAGTTCATACGGTTCATTCTTTATGGCTTTAGACATAACATCCGCCGTAATTCTAGTTACTTAAGTATTTATCCATGAATCACAGCGAATGAAGAGAACAGTCTTAGTTTCCACTCATCTCTGTTTTCTAAAACACCTTTGTTCTTTAATATCGCAGATAGTTCTATGGGATGCAATATCAATGCTCAAAAGAATTTTGAAAACGAATACGTATCGGCTGTGAACACGTAAGTTCTTATCTTCAGTTAAACCAATGCATACTGGAAGAACGAATATTAAATATATATATATTATGTATATACATATGAATACATTTCTTCCAGATTGGCTTCCATCTCTCAGAGAAGATTTTTGGATGTGTGGATGTCATTTGATTTGATCTTCAAGCTAACAACCTGGGGCAAGAAGCACGATCACGCACTTCGTGTTACACATGGTTTCATTAACAAGGTACAGTTCTTTCTGAAAACTATAAATTAAATTATAAATTTATTTCATATCAAATTATTTATCACATGTTTAGATATGTTATTTTACCTCTATAACCCGAAGAAATTTCTAATAGTCAAATTTCTGTTTTGTGAATTAAATTAATTTTCTTTTTCAACTTGAAACAAATAGATATATTTCTCAACATTAACCAAATACTTGTCCATGTAACAATGTTTGTCCATTTAAAACAAAGTATCAATTATAAATAAAAATTACATACAGAAAAATAATTCTGTATTGTAATTATTATTATGATATGGTAAAATTGATTTTAAATAATTAATATTGCAATGAAATATTAGCATCTATAGAAATAAAACAAGCTATGACGTAGATTTTATAATAAAATTTACCTCTTTTATTCGAAAAATCATAAGCAACTCTCTTCTGCCGATCACATAGAATAACTTGTCAATTGTCTCAACTTTATTTTTATTCTCGATCAAATGTTCAAATGATCAAATATAATAACTTTATAAAATTGATCTAACTTCATAGAGATAATACTACTAATAATACTACATTCTTTTGCCTATAGATAATTGCTGAAAGAAAAGCCGAATGGAAAGATAAAAAGGGTAGAAATTTCTTACCTCATAAACGTCAAGCTCTGTTGGACTTATTGTTGGAATTATCGAAAGATGGGAAGGTACTTACCGACGACGATATTCGTGATGAGGTGAATACATTTATGTTCGCTGGACACGATACCACCGCTACTAGCGTGTCCTGGATTTTATATGCATTGGGAAGGCATCCTCAGTACCAGGTATAATTTGGAAAGAAAATATTTTTACATGAACAAAACAAAAGTTGGAAATGTGCAGTGAAACTTTCTTTTTTATCCATAATTTTTCAAGAAGATTTAATTTACATATTTTCCTAACTGTATCTCAACTTAATTGATTTTGTTGTGGATTAAGTAAATTATAATTATTTGTAAGTATACACATATTTATTATAGTAAATACAAGATTTGGATAAATTTAATGAGCAAAACAGAATTATATGTGCAATAAAATGAGGTTGTTGAACATTTTCAACAATTTCAAAGTAGTAAAATAAAATAAATAATAAAAATAATTGTATATAAATCTTCTATATTTTCTATATTTTATTCTAATATAAGAGACAAATACTAAAAATTCAACAAGATAAATCAACATCTGGAAAATATCTAAATATTTTCTTGAAAAGGAAGTTTTATATGGATCTATACATTAATTAGAATAGATCCTCTATAAAATATCACATTAACAAAATTAATTTCGTTAATTAAATTCGTAAAAACAAATAATACAATTTAGTTAAAATTACATTACCATATAAATTTGATTCTTTTTTTGATTATATTAATTACAAAAAAGACAATTCATAATAATAATACATTTGAACATTGTTTCTTTGTTTTTGAACTCATTTTATGTTTATAGCACTTTTCAATATTTTTTAAAATATGTTTTAATCAATAATTTGATTTTCTTACATTATTATTATTAAATAATCATGTCACTTTTGTTATTTCTCATTTCAGGAAAAAATCTTGGAAGAGTACTATGAGGTAGTAGGAATGAAAGAATTAACTTTAGATATATTAAGCAAATTAACTTGGTTAGAAGCATGCATAAAAGAATCTTGGAGACTTTATCCAGTAACACCGCTTATCGCCAGACAGATTTATCATCCTATTACAATTTGTAAGTATAAATATACGTAAAAATATACATTTATTCGTACGTGCGCATTTTCGAAAATAGAATATCGTTTGAATAAATTAATTCACTTTCAGTGGGTCATAAAATTCCAATAGGATCAACGGTTCTAGTAAACTCATTCCTTCTTCATCGTGATGCTCGATACTTTCCAGAACCAGACACTTATCGACCAGAACGATTTCTTCCTGATGGACCACGATATCCTTCTTACGCTTTTATTCCCTTCAGTGCTGGTTCACGTAATTGTATAGGATGGAAATATGCCACAATGATAGTAAAAGTTCTTATTTTGTATGTAGTGAAAAACTTCCAAGTTGAATCCTTAGATACCGAGGATCAACTTCGTTTCATCAGTGAACTGGTATTGCACAATGCTGACGGACTGCGATTAAAAATTTCCCCACGTAAACAAGGAATTCTTGTTTAATATTATAACATCAGTATATATAGTCAACAGCAGTAAGAGAATATATATTTGGAACTAGAAGCAAAAGGCTGATTTTTTCTGTCTTTTTTTCTGTATTTATTTGAGAACAAACAAGTTAAAATTAGATTAATAAAATTTATCAATAGGAATACTTGTCTACGAACTGTGTCGTTTGTACAACACGTTATCCATTGATTAAATATATTACGTCTTTCAAATGTTTGCTATATTAACTTAGGTTAAATTATTATAACATTCTGTACTTTAATATCCATTTGCGTTATCAACATAACTTTTGTTATTGATAAGTAGGTTTTTTTACTACAATTATAATAACTTTGAAGTTTTATATGATTGATAAAAGCTTGAATGAAATGTGATGAATCGTATATTAATAGCGAAGAAATAATTGTTGGTTATCTGAAAAAGTGATATTGAATTTCTTGTATATTATATTTTTTTATTAGTAACAATACTTCCTTACAGTACTTACCTTATTAAGTACTTTGCACTTATTATGCAAAGGAATAAAAGTATAATTGTAATGTGATATTTTCTAATATCGTTAGTTCGTAAGAAAATATAAATGTAGTAAGATATTATATAAGCAATAATTCTTAATCTTTGCATCTAACAAATAAAACACCATGTTCGATAAGAAAAAGATTTTTAATTCTTGGTCAGATTATACACAACTGTTCTGGCCAATTATTATTGGCCATTTACAATTATTACAGTTACTCATATTAATATTTGGGCACTAAATATTCAAATTGTTATAATTTTATAAAAGAAAATCGTACAACGATAGATCTGAGTTTCAAAATATCCTATTCATTTTACCTCTACTTTCAAAATATCCTATTCATTTTATTCTGAGATTTTTCCATAACACGCAATAGGTAAAAAAGTAGACACTTTTTTTTTGAAAATGCATGGTATGTAAACGTATTGAAATATATCATAATAAAAATATTGAAATATTTTTTTTACTACTGAATTTACGATGAATTTGAAAACTGAAAAAATTTCCAATTCACAACGACTTCCTAGAATTTACTGTACGATTTTTTCGCGTCTTTTTATTCAACTTTGAATATTCTTAAACAATGAAAATTCAAGAAATAGCGATATTTTTGTTGTTACATTCGCTTTTGCCTGATATTCAAAATTCAATAAAATCGTACATCACAAATTTTAGGGGATCATTGAAGAAGCTTCAATCTTCGAATCTATTGCAGGATCAGTCGTGAAAAATATTTTTCAATATTTTTATATATTACGACAATTTGTAGCTTTTTCAAGAAGAGAGGAATCTTCACTTTTCCATTCGCTGCGTGAAAATACCATAGAAATGAACGGTGTATTTTGATAGTAGTATTTTGAAAGTAAGGTTCGAAAATTTAAAAATTTAATCATTTCGAAAACCGAAATGAATTTTAACTCAGCATACGTCTAATTGTTCTTATTGGAGTATATGTATATGACTAATCTCAAAATTATCATTTAACGATTATTTAAGGGAAAACTGTTTTCAAAAAATTTAATCAAATTTATTATTATGATCAGCAAGTTGAATAATTTTCGCAACAAGTAGGAATTTTAAACGCAATGTACAAACATAATACGTAAGATGTAAGATACACAGTTACCGTACCATTTAGAGGTATTTTTACATTAAATTTAAATTTAAGTTTTTTCAAATTAATCTAAATTTTTCACAATAAATCTCCCTTTATTTTCTGAAATAACTTCTTAAGTTATTCATACAAAATGAAATTTTCCGCTCTACATAGACGTACATCTACATAAGACTTCTATTATATAAGATAGCTTATACATTACATAATTACACACTACATAGTAGTACCATATAGTATGTATATATACATATGTAACAGCTAAATAAAATCCTTCACGTGCACTTTTGTAGACACTGTGCTCTTTATTTTCTTATACATATATAGTAGGAATTTTGTGACGTTTAAATGACATGTCAGATTATTATGTATCGTGACTTACTGATAATTCCTTTAACTTTTAGCCGAGACATTCTTCATAATTTCATCGTAGGATAGCAAAACGACAAAGCGCGCTACCGCTTAATATAGTAGTAATTTTAGGTTAAATCTTGTAGTATTTATTAAAAAATAAAAACATGCGCGCAACTATCGCAATATTGTGCGTCTTCCTCGGTTGTTGCAGCAACGTTGTTTTCTTGGAACTACTTGTTAAGTCAGTAATGAAATTTCTTTTTTAATTGTATTAATATATTTATTTTATATATTATTTTCAATATAATAAACATGATTTGTATTTTTTTTTTTTTTTAATAACTTGGACACATTTTAAATCAAATGTTTTTTAATAAATATACGAAAAGAATGATGATAATAATAATTATTATTTTTCCAGAGATGATCCAGGTAGTGGAAATCTTATTACATTTTCACAATTCCTCTTTATATCTATAGAAGGATTTTTATTTACTTCAAAATGTGGAACCGTCAAGCCCAATGTAGGAATAAAGGACTATTTTATATTAGTAACAATGTTTTTTGTTGCAAACGTTTGTAACAATTATGCATTTGATTTTAACATACCTATGCCGTTGCATATGATATTCAGAGCTGTAAGTATTTAAATGTAAAATATATAATAAGATTTAATAAGTTTTTGAGTAAATAATTCTCTTTATTTAATAACTTTAGGGTTCTCTGATAGCTAATATGATTATGGGTATTATTATTTTAAAGAAACAATATATCTTTAGTAAATACTTGTCAGTATTTATGATAACTGTTGGAATTGCTATATGCACTGTTGTCAGTGGCAAAGAAATAAAATCTTTGCAACCTGTGAATGTTGCTAAAGTACCTACAACACCATGGGATGATTTCTTTTGGTGGATATTAGGTATATCATTACTGACTATTGCATTATTTGTATCTGCAAGAATGGGTATTTACCAAGAAGTATTGCATAAGAAGTATGGAAAGAATGCGAGAGAAGCTTTATACTACACGGTATAATTTTACTTTGTTTCTTCATTCTACTTACAAATTTATAGAATACATTCAATTTAAATATATACATATTATTTCCGTGAAAATTATTTAATTTAATAGAAAAACAGCGATATAATTAGATTCTTTATATTAATATTTCAGTATCAATATCAATTTTTGGATTTGCATTTTTTGGAACATTTTTATTATAAACATTTTTATATAAACATGTAACAAAAAATTGGAACAATGTGATAACACAATAATGTTTCATGTAACTTGTTAAACGTATTTTAATTATAGATAATAATAAAAATATATTATTTTACTTAAGAACATTAAATATTAAAATTTGGATTGAAAAATTGGAAATTTTTTTACAGTTTAGCAGTAATATAATAACAGAGTGTATTTGATTTCAGCATTTACTGCCCTTACCATTCTTTTTAACACTGGCTCCTAATATTTGGGATCATTTCACGTATGCTTTATCATCAGAGCCAATGCAAATTATTAATCTACAAATTCCAAAATTGATCGTATATCTCATAGGAAATGTTCTTACACAGTATCCTTTCATTAATATTTAGACATTTAATTAATTTATAATATAATTCATAATCCTTAACAATAATTTTAGATATGTGTGCATTAGTTCCGTTTTTGTATTAACAGCGGAATGCACATCTCTCACAGTGACTTTAGTAATAACGTTACGAAAATTTTTGTCTTTAATCTTTTCAATAATATATTTCAAAAACTCTTTTACAATATATCACTGGATTGGTACAATTTTAGTCTTTTTAGGAACAATAATATTTACAGAAGTAATACCAAAAATTGCAGAAAATATACAACCTACAAAAAAGACTAAGAAAGTCCAATAATAAATAAAATTGTTAAAAAATGAAGATGAAGTGAACAATACTTTATACAATAATGAATAAAAGATCTTATGAATGAATTTATAATAAAAAACAGAATTTTTCATTTTTTTCAAGGCATTTTGTAAAGTTATTGAATAAACATTATTTTTCTATAAATTTCTATAACTAAAATTCATGTAAATTTAAATAACACTTTTTTTCAAATTTATATATATTCAATTTATTAAAAAAATAACAAAATTGATATTTATCAATTTTATTAAACGTTCCTAACCTTTTTTTATCACTGATGTTTTGAGTTGATCTATTCAATGATATTATCAAAGATGTTATAACTATATAAATTTCTTTTGCATAAGTAAAACTTTTCATGATACTTTTCAGATAAACTTTTCAGATAAACTTACTTGGAACTAATTTTTCACAAATAAAAAATTATGGATGAGATTTTTATGAATTTGCTGTGATATGAATATTACAGTCTTTACTATAGCTCTAATAGATGACTTAAAAATAGCAAATTTAGATTTACAATATTAAGATGGATAAAAAATTAAATAGTAAATGATAAATAATAAATTGTAGTATTATTAAAATTAAGCTTAAAGTATATGTATATGTATATATATGATGATATATAGTAATACGGTATGCAGAATGTTTTGTAAAAAAAGAAATATGTATCTCGGCTATTATGTATCGATATCAATCAAATTGAAATTTGAATAATCTGTTTTATATCTGTTTTATAATTACCCTGTATATTTTTTTTATTTGAAAAAGATTATATACTGTCACAATTTGTAATGTTACTATGATTTTCTATAACATATATAATATTTTATGAATATCATGAAGTCTGAATTTTGAATCACAGAAATGTACATGTATGTTTTTTATTATGCTATTAATCTTGGTATTGATAACACAAAATTGTTTTAACGGTACAAGTATATTTTTGTTGATGGGATATATCTTATACAATACATACATTTGTTTCTATCTAATAATAATTTATATTCAATGTTAGGTTTCGTTACGAATGCTATGCTATCGTATATTTGCCAATAAAAGCTCGTTAATCACAAACTTGTCTCAAAAACAAAAGAATTTAAAATTACATATATTAATGATATTAAAATAAATTTTATATTTGCTACATATAAATCTATACATATAAATCTAATTATATTACAAGAGGTACTACATTTAGTGCCTTCGAATTTAACATTTACGTTAATAACGATAAAAATAATATAAACAATATAATATAAAGAGAAGTATAATTAATGACAGAACTATCCGTATTTGAGTTAAACATACTTTTTAAAAACAGATACACAATTTCTGTATAAATGTACAAAAAAGTAAGAAAATAACGCTAAAACTGAAAAAAACTGAGCTGACATTCCTTTAGTATGATTAAAGAATGACCTTTTGTATGACACA